CAACGAACGGATGCCCATGTCCTCTATGAACATAAAAAAGAAAAGGAGGCAGGAATTTGAACTCCATCATCAAAAGCTCATGATCACGCCGTTGGGAACTTAGGAGAGAACGTTATTTTGATTTGCTACGAACTACATCGATTACAGGCTCTCATTCTGGGAGGGCATTTACTTCTGTAACGAGGTCTTATTTTTAGATAAGACTGCATAGTCGACCTTTACGGGCAGATGCGAAAAGAGCATTCCAAGAGAGCACGTGACGCCGACGGCAACCTTTAACAACTGTAGAAGATTAATGATTTCGATGCCTATCAAATTTGGAGAGCGCCCAACCTGGCGGTCGACTACGGACACCACTAACAGCAAGCTATTAATTGAGTTTTTGAAAGGCGGTTTCGGCTACAGTGGCATCCAGAGACGCATAATGGATAGCACCAATTTACAGGATAATACTCCTGTTCATCGGTCTTAAAAGGTACGTATTTGATAAGTCTTCAAACTATAATCTAAATTTTTAGACAACATTCAGCCGTCGTGCATGCAGTCTACAATCTATTTGTAATTCTGCCAAAAGCCTTGATCTCAAACCCCTATCAAAGATCTTTTCCGGAATTATCAAAGGAAAGCGGCACAAGACAAAGAGGGGTCCTTCAAGGGAAGAAAAGCTTGCATCAAACAAACCGCTATAGACAACCTGGCTATCCCCGTAACTCACAGGCGTTTGTGGTTTTCAATGTAAATCGAAGGTCAAAAATGCTGATTTTTCGCAGTTGTTCTTACTCTTCATTATTTATCCCCTTTTTAATGCACTACTTAGTTACCCTTATTTCAGCACTCATCCGAAATTTAGGTTTCTTTGCAAAAAAATTATTTTTGTGAGTCAATATTAATTCATGAACTATGCTATGCCTCCTTTTTAAGAACGGTCTTGTCTTTACTGTTGTATAAGATTTTAGGTGACGCTGTGTGGGATGTTTTTTCCTCGTGAAATTTCTGAGATTTCATAAGTCAGAAAATTTGCTGTTTATACACAAATACACGCCGATAATCACTTCGGGGCCCACCTCATTGGACAGCGGTGGATGCTGTTGCTTGCGACGACAGAACTGCTGTAGTGAGTAGCTCCATACGAAATGCACCTGGGAACGCTTGTCGTGACTAGCACCAGTCAAACGCAAACTTATGAAAGCTTGCTGTTTCCGGCCTCTAGAACAGCCAATCACAGGCCGAATCACACAGGAACTCGGACGGCGACTGCCGAGCAGACACCATTTTAGACGCCATCTGCTGGGTTGCGGTTGTGCGGTCGTCTGACGGTCAATTTCCTCTTGCCTATTTTCCCATTCCTTTTGTACAGAATAAACTTCTCCTACAACTCTGGCCTTCCCATGACTTCCTTTTTCTTAAGGAACAGGGTCTGGAGATTCCAGTTGCCAGGGTTTAACTTAATTAACTCCCTGCGATACTGTTGTGTTTACGTAATGTGTGCATGCCTACGTAACGGGATTTGCAAGTTAGACCGCAGAAAAGGCACACACAGTTGGCGACGTGCAGCTAACCACACAGTTGCTCCCTCATCCTGCACAAGCAGGTGCAATTCGTGGACAGGTCCAGAAGAAGTCGCTGTTACCCAAAAGGCGCAGTGTGTTGGAAAGGTTAACCTTCCCTACTTCATACAGTTAGGTGAAAGTGTTAGAAGCACGTGAAGTGGACAAAGAGCGGCAAAAACGTCGGGCCAATAAGAGAGGGCACGGAAAACCCGCCTGTTTATCAAGCCGAAAATATTTCTAAATAGAAAAGCGGTTGCGTTCACAATGGGGAGATTGTGAAAGAATGGAAGAAAAACCGGTAAGAGGAGAAAAGTTAAAAAGGATAATTGAGGTGGCGTCAGTGGGAGAGAGGGGAGAGAATTAGGTGCAGCTATCGGAAGAGATGGAAAGTAAACTGTTGAGCGCCGTCTGAGTACGGTTAAATAAGACACGCACCCTGAAGCTAAGGTTATTTATTTCCACAAATAATTTCATCCTCATTAAAAAGGTAAAGACAGACTGTCTTATAACACCTTAAACTAGTTAAATCTGCTTGTTTTCTTGTCCTTGTTGTGCAGATTATACAGGTTGAAATACTAC